CCCACCAAAGGTGGTTCCTATTTTTCCACTTGCATTTTTACATACTTTCGAACTGCTAGGTTGGCAGAAGCTGGGACCAGTAACGGGAGCTCAACTCTGTTACGCAGCACTAGGGATTCATACTGCCGAACTGCCAACCTTTCCAATCGACAAGCTGAGCGTCTTAGCCACTGAGCCATCATGTATAAGTGTAATCTTTATTGTCATTGTACTTAAATGCAAAGAAATTGGTTATGTCCCTTGTGTTTGTGGGTTTACATAAAAGATAAGAAAGAGTGCATCTGAACAACTGCAGAGAACCTCCTAATCATAGGCAAATTATTGTGATTTTTAAATGCAATGAATAAATGTAGTTCTCGACTTACACCCATTAGTTTAATGGCTCTGCAAAGTTACAATGGCAGTGAAAAAAGTGACTTATGAATGATAATGATATGAGTGATCAATATATCACTATAAGATCAATATTTGGACCTTTGGCAGCTGACATATATTTGTGACGCTTGCTGTGTGTCCCAGAGTTGTGGGACACACAGCAACTTTTGCGACTTTCTGACGAGCAAAGTCAGTGGGGAAGCCGGATTCACTTAACAACCGTGTTGCTAACTGAACAACTGCAGGGATTTGCTTAACAACCGTGGCGAGAAAGATTGCAAAAGGGGGCAACAGTCACTCAACAACTGTCTCGCTTATCAACGCGAGTTTGGGCTCAATTGTGGCCGTAAATAGAGGACTACTTGTATTGCTTGCGTGCATTCTAAGGGAGAAATGAAATTGCACCTGTGACTTCCCTCCCCAGAAATACAGGATGCAACGGCTAAGCCGATGCAGACCTAAAACCCTCAAAAATTCAGTTCGGAAACTTATTTGCTCAGCACTGGAATGAAATAAATAAAACTGTCTGCCCTCCTTTTGCTTCTTTTGGAGGTTCTTATTTCTAGGACGATGAAAAGGCGATAAAATTTAAATGCCTGATGTATGCATCACCTTTCCTTTTGATTCATTTATTTCCAGGTGCCTGACTGACGGGCGCATGTTCCTTTCCCCTTGGCGAAGCCAATTTTCTTTTGGTTCATTACTTTGGCACGCTGCACATGGCACAGGGTAATTGTGGGGTGTGTATAATAGATTTGGACAAAGCCTAATGTGAATTTCTTCCTGCTTGGATATGCCCATCACATGAGGTGCCTCCAAAAGGCGTTGGCCACCAATTGTGCCCCACTGTATACTCTGCGGGTAGATGTGGGCAGGGTTAATGTGTAGATGTGGCTGTTTCTGCCGGCGAAAAGGGTGTTCCTCTTCAGGCCGCAGGCTCAATCTACATCCTTCAGGGGCATGCCATGTTGTCAGCTGCGTTCCATTTCTGAATTCCCAGAAACCTGACACAATTTCCAAAGAAAGCAGGGAGATAATAAATAAACCCCATTCGTTCAAGATCTGGTTGGACTTCAAAAATTAAGCAGGACAGGAACTGCTTAATCCTTGGATGGGAGGCCACTATGAAATCCCAAAAGGAGAACATCAAGAAAACACTCCAGTTGAAACAACAAAATATTTCTTAAGCATGGCAACTTTAAGAGGTGTGGACTTCAACTCCCAGAATTCCCCAGCCAGCTTGGCTAGTTGAGGGATTCTGGGAGTTGAAGTCCAGGCCTCTTAAAGTTTAGAAGCACTGCTCTAAAAACACCAGGAGAAATTTGGCCCGGACATTTTATTTGTTTAAAGCCTCAAACAAGCTTCTCCTTTACCTCTCTGGTCTAATTTGGTGGGTGCCATTGCTCCTGATTTGATACCTGGAGTCTGATTGATGTTTCCGATATTAGGGGCTCCCACGGACCAGCTGGAATTTAAACTTAGCAAAATGTGATGGTGACAAAGTTAGCTTTGAGCATTCATTCACTGGAAAGTGTGTTTGTATGTGTCTGTCTAATGGAAAAGTACACGAGCTTTGGTTATCAAGCCAGTTTTGCCCTGAGGAAATTTTTTAACACATGAATGCTGTGTGTTTCTGTGCATATGGTGTGTGTGTGTGTTTGTGAATATACCGATAGATATATTAAATACAAGAAAAGGATTTTGCACAGAATTAAAAGGCTACCAAAACATAAAAAGAAAGGTCGGAAAAAAGAAAGATATGAAAAAGGGACATTAAAAAAAAAGGAAGACAAGAAAAGGAAAAAATAAATCTAAAAGATAAAAGTAAAGAAGGGATTTCTAATCTTTGCAGCAGGAAGAAGCATAATGATGGTCATTTTCCTAAATTATATACTAAAGTTCTCTTCTTCTCATAAACAACCCTTTTTAATCAGTAAATCTCCAAATTGCTACTTCATTTCTACCATCTTCAGCACCAAATTATATATATATATATCCATAAAGGTTTTCCAGTCTTTTATAAAAGTACAATTGCTGTTCTCTCCTTAATCAAACTGGCCACCTTTCCCATTTCCGCAAACTCAGCCCCCTTCACCATTTAATCTTCCATTGTGGTTATTTCTGTATTCTTCCATCTTTGTGCATACAATAAACACATTGCAGTTAGTATATAAAACCAATTGTGCATGAACCTTTTCTAGAATTTTTCTGTAGTTTCATGCATTGAAATGCCCCAGGAAGAAATGCAAAGGGTTGCAGAAAAAGAAGAGAGAGAGGGGGGAGGGAGAGAGATGGAGGGAGAGAGGGAGACACACACATACACACACATACACACACATACACACACTCACACACAGACAGAGACAGGCAGACGGAGGGAGAAAGACATAAGGAAGAGAGAAGGATGATCCATGTTGCAGAGAGTTAAAAGGAATTTCTTGAGTTGTGGAAAAAAATGCTATTTGGATGGTATATTTGGAAGGAGGAGACATTTTTATTTAAAATTTAAAAAGTGCTAAAGATGAGCAAATAAACACATAAGATGAGCAAATACAAAGTCTCCTTTCTTTGAAGTCTGGATCAACTATGCATCTTTAGCTTGTTACACGACAGGAAATATTTGCTTCAGATCTCTATTACTTTTCTGTGAAGTTCCATCTGTCCATTTGGAACTTTCTCCTTTTCTCTGCATAGTCTACCTTACCAAGAGGTTGGGAGAGTTCAAATGTTGACAAGGGTAGTCCTTGACTTATGACCACAATAGGGATCGTAACATTCATCATTTGGGGATGCAATTGTTAAATGAAGCATCGGGTGACCGCACCCAATTTTACTACAATTTTTTTTTTTTTTTGCTGCAGTCATTAAACAAGACATCATGTGACCCTGGGTTGCAACTTTCTATGCTGGCTTTCACGGGGTTGCAAGCCGGGTGGGAAGGTCACAAGTGACGATCTTGTGATTGCGATGTGCCAGGGACATTGCAACAGTGAAAGCATGAAAATTGACCTTAAGTCACATTTCACAGGGCTGTTGTAACTTTGAACACTTGCTAAAATAAATGTTTGTAAGCTGAGGACTGTTTGCATTTTGAATGCAGATAGCGCTCGGCTTACAAACCATTCATTTTGTGACAATTTGAAATTACAATGGCACTGAAAAAAGTGATTTGACCATACCCCCGTGGTTATAGGATCAAAATTTGGACGCTTGGCAATTGGCTCGTATTTATGATGGTGGCAGCGCCCCAAGGACATCTGAAAAGCTTTTTGTGACCTTCTGATTAAGCAAAATAAGTGGGGAAGCCATATTCACTTAAACAGCCATACTACTAACTTGACAGCTGTAGTGTCGCTTAATAACTATGGCACAAAATGTCGCAAAGTGGTGTAGGAAGCACCCTGCCCCGAGAATGAAATCTTTCGGGGGATATTAAAAAGAGGCAGAATATTATGTTTCCCCGAAGGAGAAATGGAGGAACATGTTCTTAAAGGCAGAAAGCAAGCAGCCCCAGTCTTCCTGCCATAGGGAAATAGCCGCAAGCATTAGAGCAGTGTTTCTCAACCTTGGCAACGTGAAGACGTCTGGACTTCAACTCCCAGAATTCCCCAGCCAGCATTCGCTGGCTGGGGAATTCTGGGAGTTGAAGTCCAGACGTCTTCACGTTGCCAAGGTTGAGAAACACTGCATTAGAGCCTGATCTTTTGGAATGGAGATTTTTGTGTAAAAAGAATGTGCCAATCTATTCATAAACAAAACACCTTCAGCCACAGCTCCCAAGGAAGGCTGGGCTGATGGGATTAAGAATTTATATCCCCCCCCAATCCAAATCCTAAAGACAGGACATAATAGGATTAACCCACTACCATTGAAATAGTGAAGGACACAAGGCTCACTATATTGCACAACCCCCCTGGAGCATCTCGATCACCAAACCCCAGAGCCCTGTAAAAACCCATCCAATCAATCATCTATTTTGTCAGCCACCCCAGAAACACTGAAGTTTCTGCAATTCTAATAAACAGGGGCCTTCTTTCCTTGTAGCCAGCCTCCATTTTATTTCCAGGGTCTTTCTCCTGGCTTGGAACCGGACTGGAATCTACAATTGGGTGGAACTCACTTAACAACTGTCTCGCTTAGCAGTGGAAATTTTGGGCTCAGTGGTGGTTGAGGGTTATCTCTAGTTACCGAGGTCTCTGTGAAGTCTGGTACGAACAAGTGGAATATGAGCATAATGAAAATATTTGAAATAAATCCTTACCGGGAAGTGTGGAGGGGATTACTAATGTAACGTGTATGAATTGAGTTATCCTAATGCGTCACTGTTGGGGAAACTACTGAATGACCAATGTGGCTTTCCCCCTCACCTCATCTCACATATTGTTTTGACAGCTGAGTCATTCCTTTCCTTCCTTTCCCGACTGTGGTTGGCGCGATTGCCTCCTGCCCTGCCTGTTTCAAAAACATAGTTTATTTTAATGTCATTTCATTGAAATTCAAATTAAACACCCCTTCGTTAGAGTTCCGTGTGCATATTTGCTGCCATCTACTGGTGAATCCTCAGTCCTGCAGGCGAAACAATTAACCTATACTCCCTGTCTCATCTCAATCTTTACTTGTTTCAGATACACCTATGAGGATTGTAAGAAGACAGCAGATTGGCTCCTGAGTAAAACCAAGCATCGGCCACGAGTGGCTATCATCTGTGGTTCAGGGCTTGGGGGGCTGGCTGACCTCCTGAAGGACCAAGTGGTGTTTGATTATGCCAAGATACCCAACTTCCCCCAAAGCACAGGTAATGGGGGAATGGCCAGGGAATGCAATTTTCATGCAGAACACGGCG